CTCACACATAGACCCATAGACTAACACATAGAGATATTCTTAGGTTTTTTCGGTAAAGTCACGTAGGTAAAAAAAATTCAAATTAATAAAAGTAAAATAAAAATAAAATAAAAATCACGACGTTTCGGAGGCAACACAAGCTTCCGTCTTCAGGTGGAACCGTCACAGCACGATATAATTTTTTTTTTTTACCTACGTGACTTTACCGAAAAAACCTAAGAATATGAATCCTTGCAGTCACGAAAGCTTCAAATCTAGACTCCCACATAGAGACTCACAGATCTGCCCTATCCGATCTTTGGGTATTTCCTTCCCCATCGGCCACCGAACTCGTGGAGACCACCAATCACTGCCTGTCTCGCAGACCGGCGCGGCACCACGCTGTGCGAGCCACGACCCCACCCCCTCCCCCACAATCATTGACAAGGTGATCACCACTCGATAATTAATCGATAACAACACCGATCGCCTTCGCACAAAGTGGAACTGGAAGCGGGACCCATCCCGAGAACGTTACGTTTGTGGGCAGTGCAGCAGAATTCAACGGCTGTGCGTTCGCCGCTAGTTGTTGCTGAGGTTGGCGGTTCGAACCGAGCGGCCGCCCTGGCTAATACTACCGGTGTTAATAACCTGTACATAATGCATCGCTGTCAACCCACACGGTTTACCCCGTATTCTTGTACAGGGGAAATTGAGTTTTCAGGTCCATATACGGCGTACAGCCGCTTCAATACGGGCACATTTATTTGTCTATCTGTTTGTGTTTTTCCCTTGTCATGGGACTTTGTAGGATGCACGTTGAGATTTATAAAGGCCACGGGGTGACCAATGAGGTCTGAATTGTTCTGTAACAAGGTAGGCACTGATAAGGGGTTGACAGGTTTGCTAATGGCAATAGAGTACCCCACTCCTGCACGCACCGCCTGTGGACGTTAAAGATCCTGTGGCGTAATGCGCAAGAGCCGCTCATTGTGTGCCGGCGTCAGGGTCCAAATTGGGAACATTTACACCGCAACATAATACCCAACGGCGCTCACGCACTGCACTCACCGCATCCTACTGGCAGACTAAAGCCCCTCTACGTACGGTGCGAACGAAGTCCAACGTACATACAGGCCACTGATTTGCACGTGAGACTCACGCTTGCTCCGTCTCAAGTCATCACCCTCGTTTACTACAAAAACACTTTCCTGCGGAGGGAGCTGGTAGGAACGTTGGGTTGCTCGGTCAATGGCCAGGGTCAACGGCGGCGTGGTGTATTCCGCAAATATGGCCGACTGTGAGGGCGGGCACAAGCCGGCGTGAGTAGGTTAAACGTTGAGTTTTATAAGGGCACCACGGGGTGACCAGCCCCTCCCCTCCCCACCCAGCCCCACCCCCCACCCAGCCCCACCCTCCCCACCCAGCCCCACCCGCCCCACCCTACCCACCCAGCCCCACCCTCCCCACCCAGCCCCACCCGTCCCACCCCCCACCCAGCTCCTCCCACCCCCTACCCAGCCCCTCCCCACCCTCCTCTCCCCACCCAGTCCCTCCCTCCCCACCCAGCCCTTCCCTGCACGACGGACGGACGGACACAATAATCCCCTGTGGGCTGGTGTAACCAGGAGGTTCCTACCAGTATTAACTTGAAACGTGACTCGTGTCTTCACTTAGGGGTCGTCCATAAATGACGTCACGCACCTATAGGGGAGGGGGGGTCAGACATTTGTGACGATGTGTGACGAGGGGGGGAGGGTTTGAGAAATGTGACGTCACATCAAAATGCGCAACTTTAAATAAATATAGACAACACGTTCTACTTAATTAAATATACTTTTTAAATAAATGTTTTCTCCTACAACATCAGAGTGCAGCGCCACATTAAATACGCACTACAATGACAATAGTTTAAAGCGATTTGAAGCATGTTTAATTTTTTTTGGTGTAGGGTGGGGCAGAGCTTTGTGACGTCATATTTGAGGGGGGGGGGTAAACTTTTTGTGACGCCGTGTGACAAAAGGGGGGGGGGGTCAAAAATCGTCCAAAATCGCGTGACGTCATTTATGAACGGCCCCAAAGCCTGCACTGACCAGCGCGGCGGTCAAATAGGGGAGGCTCTCATCCAGCGGAGCATTGAGACGAAGAACTGCACAGTGTACAATGGCCACACGGTATCCCACACGCGGCATCGAGGCAGGTCTCGCGGCTTCCCATCGCAATGCGAAACTCCACGTGTCGCTAGAACCCTAAGAATCGTTACATATTCTTGGTTCTTTCGGTAAAGTCACGTAGAATGGAAATAATAAAATAATAACAATAAAAAATAGAATTATTTTATTCGTTTTATTGTTTTATTTTTATTATTTTATTATTTCCATTCTACGTGACTTTACCGAAAGAACCAAGAAGATGAATCCCTGCAGTCACGAAAGCTTTCAATCGAAATTGAATCGTTACATGTTGTCAAGCCCGCTTGCTTATGCGCGGTGGGAAATATAAACCCACCTGACCGCCCCACGCTCTGTTAACGCGGGCGCCTACCCGCGGCTGCGTTTAGATTTCATAGACCGCTTAGGTAAGGTTGAGGCCCGCGTTCAATTGGCTCTGCCGGTGTCACGTGGTGCGGTGTCCGGTTTAATTTTGCACGAATCACGGCAATTAAACGTTTTCAGAATGTTAAAGTTTAACATTTATTATTGTGATTTACAAAAAAAGGTGAGCTCAATCGCTTTAAAATTACCGTATGTGTGAGGAGTTTGAAAGAATTGATTTTCTTTCGCGAAGGAAATTACCTCAGATTGTAATTAATTACCTCGGATTAACGGTGATTGAGTAATGCGGGCGAATTTTTAAGTATAATTTACGCGAAGTGTTAAAAATGCGTAACTTTGCGTAGTGCGAGCGATCATAATCATAATATTGTGTTTTTTCGGGCAAAGAGTTCATCTTACCACTGACAATAATGTTTTTATGTCGTGTTCGGATCATAAGACGCACCGCAATTCGCGTAAACTTCTCGCGTTTAATATGATTGTGTACACAAACATTTGTGTTGTTTAACTTTAGCACTTATATAATAACAATTATAATAAAGTTGGGGAAAATCTGCCCGTGCGTTTATCGATTACGTGGTGGCGGGAGAACTTTCATCCAGCAGTGGATAACGACTCGCAGTGGTGAAGTTTTGTACTGGTAGCAACCTCCTGGTGACACCAGCCCACAGGGGATTATTGTGTCCGTCCGTCGTGCAGGGTGGGGCTGGGTGGGGAGGGTGGGGAGGGGCTGGGTGGGAAGGGTGGGACTGGGTGGGGGGTGGGAGGGGTGGGGCTGGGTGGGGAGGGGCTGGGTGGGGTTGGGTGGGGAGGGGCTGGGTGGGGTGTGGGAGGGGCTGGGTGGGGAGAGTGGGGCTGGGTGGGGGTGTGGAAGGGGTGGGGCTGGGTGGGGAGGGGCTGGTCAGGGGGAGAAATGTGACGTCACATCAAAATGCGCAACTTTAAATAAATATAGACAACACGTTCTACTTAATTAAATAGACGTTTTAATAAATGTTTTCTCCTACAACATCAGAGTGCAGCGCCACATTGAATACGCACTACAATGACAATAGTTTAAAGCAATTTGAAGCATGTTTTATTTTCAAAATGGAAATATGGTTTTGGCGGGGGGGGGGCAGAGCTTTGTGACGTCATATTTGAGGGGGGCTCTGACTTTTTGTGACGCCGTGTGACGAGGGGGGGGGGGGTCAAAAATCGTCCAAAATTCGCGTGACGTCATTTATGGACGGCCCCTTACATTGGCTATAGCTCCTGTAATGGGCTTTGTAATTGCAATGGTTTAGTTCTGAGTTGTGCTGAACATTAAACTTGTGTCATTGTTTTTGCAATTGTATTGTGATAGCCCATTAACACAATTATGTTTACAATAATTGCGTTTAGTTTTATTGCGTTGCAATTGTGTTATAACTTTAATCAGTATCATTTTGTGTATCAGAATTTTGTTTATGGGATAACTGTGTCTCTATAACTGTCATAGATATACTCTGTCGTAAATGTTCTTTATGGGATTATAATTGTGTTGTTACCATAACTGTAATGAACATAATTATTCGCATCATTGTGTTGACATTTTTGTATTCTAATTCTGTTGTCACTGTGATAAACATAATTATGTATCATAATTGTGTTTATTTTTTACTTAAAACTTTCGTGATTCTAGGAATTCATATTTTTTTCGGTAAAATCGCGTAAAAAGTGAATAAAAATAATAAAGAAAAATAATTAAACCACTGTTGACTGTAGCCTGGGTTTTAATGTAGACTGTACTCCGATAAAAAAAACCAGGCTACAGTCTACATTAGTGTTTTTATTATTCTACTTTTATTCAATGTATCCACTTTTTTTACGTGACTTTGTGAGTGTACCCTGATTAAAAACCAGGCTGCAGTTTACATTCGTGTTTTTAGTTTTTATTATTTTTCATTTTAATATTTTTAATATAATATAACTAAAGTTTGTATTATTATTTTTAATAAAAAATAATAAAAATAAAATCTGAAACCTTTATAACATCCTGCCTCAGCAGCTCTCCCGCTATATTTTTTCACCTGATGACGATTGCTTGTGTTGCGATCGAAACGTCGTCATTTTTTTTCTATCTACGTGGCTTTACCGAAAGACCCAAAGAATATGAATTCCTGCAGTCACGAAAGCTTTAAGTCAAGATCTCAATTATATGTTTTAATCATTAATGGGTGGGGGATTAATATTTTTGGTTCTTTCGGTAAAGTCACGTAGAAGGGAAGCAATAAAATAATAAAAATATAAAACAATAAAATAATCACGACGTTTCGACTGCAACACAAGCAACCATCATCAGATGTTTATGTAATTGAAACGTTTGTGCAGCAGCGTGGCCTGGATCCGGTTCCAAGCCTCGCGAGGCGCGCGTCGGAACCGGTTCCCCGCTTCCCTATTTAGGGAACCGGGTTACCCGGTTCCTTCACACAGTAGACCCAGGCGAGACACGCGTGGTCGTGGAGGCGAACTTAGACTCACTGGAGACTCGAGGGAGACACTAGGGGAGAGACAGGGGAGACACGGAGGGAGACACTAGGGGAGAGACAAGAGACTGGTCACTCGAGACATGAGCCGGAGACACTTAGGGGAAGACGAGACGCATTGAGACGCACGTGGGATCGCAGAGACACGGGGCTGGAGACACGCGGAGACACGCAGACACAACCAGGAGGCGAGCTGGTGGAGGGGAGACACGGGGAGAGAGAGAGACACCGGGAGAGAGACACGGGGAGAGAGACACACGGGGAGAGAGACACGGGGAGAGAGACACGGGGAGAGAGACACGGGGAGAGAGACACGGGGAGAGAGACACGCGGAGAGAGACACGCGGAGAGAGACACACGGGAGAGACACGTGGAGAGAGACACACGTGGAGAGAGACACACGTGGAGAGAGACACACGTGGAGAGAGACACACGTGGAGAGAGACACACGTGGAGAGAGACACGTGGAGAGACACACGGGGAGAGAGACACGGGGGGCGGGAGTCACGACACCGTTATGTCCGCCTCCGCTGTGTTCATCCTGGACCTCAAGGGGAAGGTAGGAACTGCTGTGCCTGGCTGTGTCTCAGCTATGTGTACATGTGCTTGTGTGGTGTGCTGTGTCTGCATGTCATTGTGTGGTGAGTTATACGTGTGCTTTAATGGTGACATATGCATACATGTCATTGTGTGGTAAGCTGTGTCTGCATACAATTGTGTGGTGTACTGTCTGCATACAATTGTGTGGTGAGCTAAGCCTACATGTGCTTGTGTGGTGAGTTATACGTGTGCTTTAGTGGTGAGCTAAGCCCATGTGCTTGTGTGGTGAGGCTAGTGCTTTAATGGTGAGATATGCATACATGTCATTGTGTGGTAAGCTGTGTCTGCATACAATTGTGTGGTGTACTGTCTGCATATTCTTGTGTGGTGAGCTAAGCCTACATATGCTTGTGTGGTGAGTTATACGTGTGCTTTAGTGGTGAGCTAAGCCTACATGTGCTTGTGTGGTGAGTTATATGTGGGCTTTAGTGGTGAGCTAAGCCTACATGTGCTTATGTGGTGAGGCTAGTGCTTTAATGGTGAGATATGCATACATGTCATTGTGTGGTGTGCTGTGTCTGCATAAGATTGTGTGGTGAGCTAAGCCTACATGTGCTTGTGTGGTGAGTTATACGTGTGCTTTAGTGGTGAGCTAAGCCTACATGTGCTTGTGTGGAGAGCCTTGTGCTTTAATGGTGAGATATGCATACATGTCATTGTGTGGTGTGCTGTGTCTGCATATGATTGTGTGGTGAGCTAAGCCTACATGTGCTTGTGTGGTGAGCCTTGTGCTTTAGTGGTGAGATATGCACACATGTCATTGTGTGGTGTGCTGTGTCTGCATATGATTGTGTGGTGAGCTAAGCCTACATATGCTTGTGTGGTGAGTTATACGTGTGCTTTAGTGGTGAGCTAAGCCTACATGTGCTTGTGTGGTGAGCCTTGTGCTTTAATGGTGAGATATGCACACATGTCATTGTGTGGTGTGCTGTGTCTGCATATGATTGTGTGGTGAGCTAAGCCTACATGTGCTTGTGTGGTGAGTTATACGTGTGCTTTAGTGGTGAGCTAAGCCCATGTGCTTGTGTGGTGAGGTTAGTGCTTTAATGGTGAGATATGCATACATGTCATTGTGTGGTGTGCTGTGTCTGCATAAGATTGTGTGGTGAGCTAAGCCTACATGTGTGGTGTGGTGAGCCTTGTGCTTTAATGGTGAGATATGCATACATGTCATTGTGTGGTGTGCTGTGTCTGCATATGATTGTATGGTGAGCTAAGCCTACATGTGCTTGTGTGGTGTGCTGTGCATATCCTTCTGGAATACAGTCTGTTGTTTTGCGATGTATTGAAAGCAGCAATGCTGTGCCATTGAGCTATGTGCCTATGGGTTCTGCCTACCCGAATGACTAAGCCTTGCCATGTGCTGCGTCTGTGTACACTGGTCGTACCTGTACACTCTGTATATAGTAGCTATGCCATTGGCTTTAACCGCACACACATGTACTGTGAGTTGTATCTACACTGGCTGGAGACGATGCTAGCTGCTATTCCTGTGGGCTATGGGTTGGGCTATAGTTCGCATTTGCACAACTGCTGCGAGGTAATATGCCATGGACTGTCTGGACTCTCTTGGCAAGGCACTATGCTGTGGGCTTTGTCTATACACTGCTTCAGTACTGCCCCATGGGCAAATCCACATGTAGTTTAGCGGCTTATCATTCCGTCGGCTATGTTTGTATCCTGTTGATAATTGTTCTGCAATTGAGCAATGCATGGCAAGCACGTCTCATGATTAGATTTTCCTCTTGGCTGGGATTAAGCAGTACTGTTATGAACTATGCCAGTTACACTGCTATGTGCTCTGTGCTGTTAGCTGTGTCTGCACTGAATGTTTGTATGTTCATTGGTGAAGTGATGTGCTATGAGCTATCTGCCTCTACACTATGACTAATCAGGTGTGCTACGGGATATACTTGCATTTTAAGGATAAGTACTAGGATACGTTCAATGAATATACACTGGCTAGACACTGCTGTGGGTTATACTGTAACTATATAGTATATATAGTACTGTGGTTATGTTCTATGCTAGAAGCTATGGCTCTACACACTTGCTGGGTTTTGTGCACTGCTCTCTCCCTGTATTCTATAACGAGGGACTACGCTATTAGCTATGCTTGCACACTGCTTAGTTAATTTCTGTGTGGGCTATGTGTACAAGCGACGGACATCCAGTAAGCGACGGGTTACTACTACATGTCCCCTGTGCACTATGACTAGGCACATTGCCGTGAGCCACTGTATACGCGTGCACTCTGCCTTGGCCTAATCCTGGTGGGGATGTGCTTCAAAGTGTGTCTGCTGTGACCGGCTGAGCACACGGGAGAAAGTGACCGTGGGAGAATGATCTTTGTCCGTCATCGGTGCTGTCAACTTGCAGGCAAGATCCTGGCCGAATTTGCTGCTGGGGTCACAAGGGTGTGGCGTGAATTTGTGGCTGGCTGGCTGGTGTTCATCACCTGTATGTGCACACGCAGTCACGGAGCAAATGCACCGATATGCAGAGTTGTTTTTGTTGTTGTTGTGTGTCGGCGTAAATCGTCGGCCGTGCTATATCCACGGCTGGATTGGAAGGTCATCCATCCCTTGGCCGTCGTCATCTGCGGTGATTTCTCTGGAAGACTTTGCTGGGTTTTGCCCCCAGGATTTTAGTGTTGCGTGTAGTCACTTTAAGATTTTTCGATTTAATGTTAAAGCTTCGTGACTGCAGGGATTCATCTTCTTGGTTCTTTCGGTAAAGGCACGTAGAATGGAAATAATAAAATGATAAAAATAAAACATAATAAAATAATTCTCACGACGTTTTCGGCCACAACGCAAGCAGCCGTCCTCAGGTGAAGACCAGGTCTGTCGAGAAGACAGAGTCTTTTCTGAGAGGATGTCTGTTGAGGATATGGCAGACTCTGTCTTCTCGACAGACCTGTTCTTCACCTGAGGACGGCTGCTTGCGTTGTGGCCGAAACGTCGTGAGAATTATTTTATTATGTTTTATTTTTATTATTTTATGATGTTTTATTTTTATTATTTTATTACTTCCATTCTACGTGACTTTACCGAAAGAACCAAGAAGATCACTTTAAGATGTTTCTTGTTCATGTTTTTGTTTTGTTGCGGTTGCACCCGAGTCAAGAGCCGCATGGCTCACAGGGTTATTATACCTAGTAAATGAAAACTGAAATCTGCCGTGGTCATGCGACTCGCCAAATACCTCGAGCGCCTGCATGCGTACGAGCCGATCTCATTGTTCCGTCGTTTCAATGGGTTTGTTCTGTCCTTTGGCTGTCACTCCGTCGTTAGTCTCTACCCGTGGCTCTCATCACTTCTAGCTATGTGTCATGTCCAAGCCCCGCTACTACTGATTTATTTTAGTATTTTTATTTCAACGGTCAGTAAAAGTTCTCCTACATTGTGATGGCATTTGCGCAACCCGTAAAAAAAATTCACGTAATAAAAAAGTGCTTAATGGGCAAGTGATAGGGGTTCTAGATTTGAAGCTTTCGTGACTGCAAGGATTCATATTCTTAGGTTTTTTCCGGTAAAGTCACGTAGGTAAAACATCAAAATGAATTTTATTTTCATTAATTTTGATGTTTTACCTACGTGACTTTACCGAAAAAACCTAAGAATATAAAGTGATAGGGGTGTAGTGGTGCATATCGTGAATACAGCACTTTAGAGGAAAGGGCTGGTGGATCACACCGAGATTTGTGAAGCTCCCAAACCTTTTGGGTTGTGAGATGGCCAGTAGCTGACTGTAGAGGAAATGGATTTGTAAACATGTCTGGATGTACGAGCATTAGACGTTTGTAGGTGTCGTAGGTTTTCTCCGGGTGTTCTGAATTCATGGCACACAGAGGCAGATATTAATGGAAAATGGCCAAACACCAAAATACACGAGTCTTGAAAACAAAGTCTTGAGACTCGGTCAGGCTTTCCTGGATAAATAAATTGTATTTTTGCTGTGCAAAAGGAAGTGGTGGAATATTCCTCATTCTTACGGCGGAGTGAGGTCATTGTTGAGGTTGCTTGCTTGCTATTACACCGAGAGACAGAACGAGGAACACGACACGTCAGAGAGAGAAAACTCCCACGTTCGAGACATCGTATTGACTGGTTGAAAAAGTGTAAAGTGGGCTTGTGCACGACCCAGGTGCTAGAGAGGATGACTATGGCTCGTGGTCGAGACCAAAGATGGAATGGCAGCCAAAAAAAAAGAGGGAGACTTTTCCGGGAGCATGTCTGTTGAGGATATGGCAGAGGTCGCAAACGGGTTTTGATTCCTTACCCGCACCCGGGTGCACCAGGGTCGCAAACGGGTACCCGTACTCTACCCGATACCCAGCTACCCGTACCCGGCTACCCGGCCGGGTATCGGGTAGGTTATGGGTATCGGATACCCGATTGCGACCTCTGGGATGAAGCCATGTTGCAGGCGCGGGTGGGTTGATTCTAGGAACTTGAATTGTGAGAAGAGACAAGACGTTGGGAAATGAGTGACAAACGGTTACTCACCAGTGACTCACGGCCTACCCGTACCCGGCTGCACCAGGGTCGCAAATGGGTACCCGTACCCGGCCGGGTACGGGTAGCCGGGTATCGGGTAGGGTACGGGTATCGGGTACCCGGTTGCGACCTCTGGGATACGGTAGCGATGAGATCGGCACGTGAGCAGGACGTGGACAAAATGTTTGCGTTGAAGGTCCCCATGCAAGCTGGGGATTTGAGGATGCTTCATCCAGCAGTGAATAGATAATTGGCGTGTTAAGTTGATGGCAGGTGTGAGTATATTCACAGGACAACCTCAGTCCATCCACTCCACCACCCTCCACGACCAGGAGTCGAACTCACAACCTTTAAGATTGTGAGGCGCTCACACCCAAACATTGCGTCAACCAGCCGAATACTAAAACGTTCATTAATAAATGTAATTTGCTTTCTCGATAAGTGAATTAGATCATAA